GTGTGTTAACATCATTATATAATATTATCATGGTCCCTGTCTTTGCTATAAAAAAAAAAAGCAAAGGAAATAGGAAAATTTGAGACGTGGCAGTGTAGAGGTGATTTTCTGCTTCACTGAAATGAATGTTGATATGAATCAGAACTGTAACACAACTGTAACTGACATAAATAGGAACTTTTACATTGGACAAAGGACTTCATATAAACTGTCAGTATCAAAATGTATTTCAGGGAAGGGGTGGTCAGAAAGTGGTATATAAGAGAAAATGAGGTTGGTTCTGGTTATAATTTCTCCCTTTGTCATAAGTAACCAAAAATAGATGTTTCCATTATCACACCATCAAAACATGGTCATCCAGTTTTTTTTTTTAACCATGTTGAATTATTTTCAATATGCTATTAAGAAACTTTTCTCAAAAATAGGACCTAAAGGGTTACATACTCTTACTATTTTAATACATCTTGTACTATTAAAACATCATCTGCATAGATAAAAAGTAAGGTCTTAATTTTGTAAAAAGCAAATTTCTTCTTTCTAATAATTCAGTTGATCTACAGGAGATTCTTTTTCCCCCCATAAGTTGCTCTAGCATAGTTTCTATATCCTGTAAGGACAAAGTTCTAGTTTTAGAAATAGACGAAGGCATCTTTTTAAACGGTGAAAACTTGTCTAGATGCACACAGGTGGCAAACACAAGGCCCACGGGCCAAATTCGGCCCTCCACCTTGATTTATCCCGCCTGGCACCTTGTTTCTACCTGGTGGCAGCACCGAGCTCCTTGCCCCCAGTTAAGGAGCAATTACATTTATACGGTCCTCAAATTACGTTTGGCCCTTCAAGGCAACCTGAGGCTGATGTGGTCCCCGGTGAAAATGAGTTTTGACACCCCCGACGGTGATTCAGGTAGGTGCATTATTGGCAAATTCAGGGCAATGTTACTAGGTAATTCATACATTCATGAAACTACTTAATCACAGGATCATACCTAATTGGTAAGACATAAATGCAGAAAAATGATCAATCCTAGAAGAAATCATGACAATTGTTGACTAGCAAGATGATACTAAGCCCAAAAGCCACAAAAGGAAACACTGAACTATATTTAAAAAACTAACATTTCTGCTTCAACAAAGATGGGGTAGATGTATTTTACCCGCCTGTTCCTACCTCTAAGTAAAACTAGAAACCCTGGACATTATATGTAAGACAATGAAAAGGCAGACCTGTTGGAGACCCAATGATCGAGGCAGTGGTATTTGTTTTTTTCTCTGGGTTTTCTTTTGCCTCTTATGTCCCAGTCTTGGTGCTGAAGAAGCTGGCAACATCCAAACAGCTACAGGATAGAAATAAGTCCTGACAAACTCCTGCCACTCTGCCGTCTTGCCCTGTGGATTTCAGACTGGTGCCTGCATTTCTGGTCTGCCCCAGCCTGCCCTTCGACAAATTTTGGACTTGCCAGCCTCCACAATGGCATGAACCAATTCCTTAAAATAAATTGCTTTCTCTGTATGCACATTCCTGGCTGGTTCTGTTTCTCTGAAGAACCCTGACAGAGATCAGCGTCCTAGTTTGAGGGGGCATAGCAAGTTACCACAGACGAAGGTGGCCTGTACAGCAAACAGGTACTTCCCACGGTTGTGCGGGCCAGAAGTCAGACGGCGCCACTGGCACTGTCCCGTTTTTGGTGAGTGCAGAGGGCTCACCAAGAGGGCCTCTTTCTGGTTTCCAGAGAGCTGCCTTGCTGTCTTACCAGGGTGCTAATTCCATTCCTGAGGGTTTCACCCTCATGACCACAGGCCTTACTCCCAAGTGCCATCTCACTGGGAATTAGATTGCAACAAATAAATTTGGGGGTGGGGGTGGACACAAAGATTCGGTCTGTGACAACAGGCATAGCCCCTAAGGAGCATCATTGCTCTTGGGATAGAATTACAGTATTAGCTAAAATATGATATTAAGCATTTACTTTGATAGAGCCACTCTACCTAATGCTTTATATACATTATCTAACTTAATCTTTGAGGGTCTATAAGATAGCCACAATTATTATTTTAAGGAATAGGAAATTAAAACCTAGAGAAGCTAACTAATTTGTCCAAGTTATGTGGCCAGTGAGTGGAAGAGCTCAGCCGGGTCTCTGCGACCCCAGGGCCCCAGCTTGGAGCCGCCACCCTGGGAGATCTTGACCTCAGCGTTCTTATTTCCTGGTCATGAAATCTGGTGGATCCTGAAGTAAATATGTTTTCACATAAGCCAATGTCGATGGGTCTGTGTTGTTTAAACAAATTATTGAAAGCACACTCTCAATGGTGTGTTCCATTTGGGTAGAGTTTTAGGGTACATAGTAAGGATTACGTCTTCTCTATTTTGTGTTTCTCCCCAAATGGTCTTACTGCTGTGTGTTTCTCAGTCTCACTTAGCCTTTCATTATTGGGTAAAAACGTTCAGTATTGAATGAAGTTTAAAGCAAATCTTTTCATAAAATGGAACATTTCCATTAGTTTTCTCAAAGGGAGATTAAGTAAAACTTCCTAGCCATATATTTATAATTGGGATACATTTTTCAACATTTTCAGTGACTGTAGGCTTAAAAATACCAGACTACACAGTCTTTTACTTTTCTTTTAGTTATTAACCTGGAGATTATAATGTCCCATCCTTATTACAATCCAATTAAAAATTAATACTTCTTATGCGACTCATGGGCAGCTTAAACCTGCTGTAATTTGAATATACATCTCCATGTGAAATGGATTGTTGCCATACCCAGTCAATATGATTGTCCAGTGGGTCTGATACACTCAGCTCACGATAAGTCGCTTTTTTTTTTAAGATTTTATTTATCTTTAGAGGGGAAGGGAAGGAGAGAGGGAGAGAAACATCAATGTATGGTTGCCTTTTGTGCGTCCCCTGCTGGGAACTGGCCTGCAGGGAACCGGCCTGCAACCCAGGCATGTGTCCTGACCTGATCGAGAATTGAACCACGATTGTCTGGTTTGCCGGCCCGCGCTCAATCCACTGAGCCACACCATCCGTGGCCGATAAGTAGCTTTGATCAAACTATTACTTGATGTTCCACTGTCAGGCTCTCAGTTCCAGAATGAATGCAGTAGCATGCCAAGAACTAATTGAACAGTGACTACTTAGTTCTCTGCTGCTGATGGTGTGGCCTTATTCAAAAACCCTTGACAACTGGACTATGACTCTCAGAACTTGCCAGAGACTTCACAAGGCAACTTTACCTTCAACAAATATTTCTAGCACCATGGATTATGCTGGGTTACTGCTGTACTTACCTTTGTAAGCAGTTATCCCCCAAACTTCTGAGCTTGAAGTGTCAATAAGCATTATCTCATATAGCTTCCACAGGCCAGAAATCCAGGAGCAGCTTAACTGGGTGGTTCTGGCTTGGGGTTTCTCAACAGGGTGCATGAAGCTTTCAGCCAGAGGGGCAGTCATCTGAGTCTTCAGTTGGGTCTGGAGGATGACCTGCAACTCAAATGGTTGTTGGCAGAAGGCCTCAGTCCCTCAATGGCTTTGGGAAGGAGACCTTGGTTCCTTACCATGTGGACCTCTCCAGAGGACTGCTGAAGTGTCTTCACATCATGGCAGCTGGCTTCCTGCAGAGGAAGTGATCCAGGAGAGAGAGCAAGGGGAAACTTTGATTCTATGACCTAATCTTGGAAACCACACAACATCACTTTCACCTTGATATCTGCCATGCACCCACATCGATACCAAATTCTTCTTTCTCATATTCTTTCTCTCCCTCTCTCTCTCCCCCTTCCCCTCTCTCAGCTATAACTTTCTGCCAGGGGCCATACCTGAATTGCAGACTCTGGCTGTACACATTGGCAAAAGTTGATTACAGATTCTCACTGACAGTCCACCATTCCCTGTAGGGCTTTCATCTCTCACCTGTTTTGATTTCAGCCCCACTTCTACAATACAGGTTGGACAAAAGTAGCTTTGCAGTTCTGAGTACACAAAATACAGGGTTTATTGTATTATTACTTATGAATTATTGTGTTATTTTCCATATGAACAACTGTAAACCTACTTTTGCCACACTCTATAAGTCTATGTAATAGTATGATGGTTCCGAGCACCATCAGAGAGATGGATGTCACCCTGCTTTTTATAAACTTGTGATCTAGCTCTTTAGATTAGCTGCAGGAAAGCAGCAATGTATTCGCATTACCTTAACTGTCCAGTTTTGTGTCTCAGTAGCAAGCTACTGCAGGAAGCTTTTTTGGCTTCTTTTTCCTCTAGCTGTACCCTTCTGGCCAGACTATTGGCCCACATACAAATGACAAATGCCTCCAAAACAGTAGACTAGACTAATAAATTGTGGTATATAGTTATACAATGGAATACTACACACCAATGAGAACAGCAGAATTACTTCTATTAGCAACAACATGGACGAACTGAGTACAAATAATTCAACTTCTATGATTCCATGTGTATGCCTTTCAAAACATACATAATTAATGTACAGTTTAGAAATATGGACAGTGATTACTTCTGAAGTGTGGGTAGTGACAAGTAATAGGACCGGTGACAAGAATGAAGAAACTTTCAGAGTGCAGGCAACATGTTCCGTTTCTTGGTCCAGAATGCCAGTTACATGAGTGTTTATCATTGGAAAATTTGTTGAGCTCAGCAATAATCACTTATGTACATTCCTATACACATGTTTTACTTCAACAAAAACCTCACATAAAATGTAGGAATTATTGCCCTGGCGGGGTGGCTGGGGTTCCAGTGTCATCCCGTACACCAAGGTATGGGGGTTCAATTCCTGGTCAGTGCCCGTACGGGAGGCAACTGATCAATGTTTCTCACATTGATGTTTCTCTCTCTTACTCCCTCCCCTCCTCTCTATAAAATCAATTTTAAAAAATGTCCTCAGGTGAAGATTTTAAAAAAGTAGGAATTATTTTTCATTACTGACATTTCTGTTTATTATTTAAATGTTTCAAATAATATCATAACAAATAAACAATATGCTAAACCACAGGGAAGTTTAATATACAACTGAAAACCACTAGGACTCCTAGAAATACCAGGGGTTATCTCAGCGTAATTGTGAGCATTTGAGCAGGTTCTGTGCCTTTCTTCTCAAGGTATCTTTCCTCTCGTGTTGGAACTGTGTCCCAGTTCAGAGAGGTAAAAGCCATCATTGACCTCTTCATGGACCTTACAAATACAGCATCTTCTGGGTCGTCAAACACAGTTCTGCAAAAAGGGCAATTATGTCAGAAAAAAATAAATTAGACCAATATGGGTTTTTAATTTAGATGTAGCAATGCCATATTTTTCTATGATATTGGTAGTAGAGTACCACTAACAAATTTTAGACTCTACTGACAAATGACTTTCAGGAGAAGTTATGCTATTTTCATTGTCTAGAGTGTTTATTTTAATGATAGAGTTTTTGCCTAAATTTGGGGTCAGCTATGACAGTCTAGGTCTCCCATATTTATCCATTCATGTTTTAAAACCGGTGTTAAATGAAATGATTAAAATATTTCTAGATCTCATATTCACATTAGGATCTTACATACACTTATTGTGGAGATTTTTCTACAGCGTGCCATGATCTCAAGGCTCATATTTTCTGTAAATGTGCTCGGGGATGACATTTTTCAACACTGACTCTAAAAAACATTCCTAAATTTGAAATTAAAAGAGAGTAATGGTTTTTAAATTCATAAATATTCATGGACTTGAAATGTTTTTCATAGTTTAATGAAGTATTTGCTTTTGCAAATGTAAATTCCGGTGCATATAAAATGATAAAAATTGCTCTCACTGGGCATATTTACAGGAACAGTAAACAAGCAAGACAAAGACCCTCATTTGTGATAGCTAATAACTCTTAATTTTTTAATGCATCAAGTCACACTTTTACTTTTTTAGGTTATAATATTAAAATTTAAATGTGTCAAAAATGAATAAGTAACTTGAACTCATTTATCACAGAAAGACATAGCAATTTTTTTCTATCTATTAAAGAGTTAGTCATTTTTTTAAGTCATTATAGTCTACTTTGGGAAATGAAAATAATTTAGGGGGGTCAGTGCAGTTACGAAATAATTTGATAATAAAAGTAAAGTTAAAATCACTTACTTGTCTACATTATTCGCAAATGCAAAATCTAAAAAAAACACATTTCTAAATTAGTATCTTTCAAATTAGTTTCAAGTATTAGTAACATTTTAAAACAATGGGACAAGCTGTGAAGGAACAGTCTAGAGCACAGCTTTCTGGTTTTCGAGCATGCGTTTAGATGAATCGTTTGATCCATGAAAAAAGTCTTGATACCAAACCCCAAAGTGAAATTTTCTCTTAGATATATAGTACCTTGTACGTCTTAGATTTTGAGGCAGGTCTTTAAATACAATACACATCTGAAAACTCTCAGAACAGAATGCTTAATCGATTTAGTTACCCATGGAATCCAAGTTGGAATTTTTATAGTTGAGATACTGAGTCTCATGTGCAGAAACTGACCTTTTTTTTTTTTTAAGCAAGCACATGTAGCTATAAATGGAATAATAGACCAAATGAGGAGAAATACATGAAGTAGTTTAAACCATTTGGATTCTTGGCATTAGCTTCAAAGCACTGGAATAAACAAATCCTAGATCACAAGAATCTACATCTTCCCTAGCTTTGGAGCTCAAAGGCTAGTCCTCCAAGCTTGGATTTCTTAAGATATCTCGCAGAGACCGTCAATGCTGTGTTTATTCCTCTTCAGGAGGCCTGGTGCCAGACTGGAGAAGGAATGTAGAAGCACCTGTTGGGCCACCAAAGCCCCGAGTGTGAGCTCTTGCTAATCCGTAAGCAGCATGGAGCGCACAGCCTCTGCCTTAAGAGAGGAGCTGATGGCCTCCTTCCCTTCACAAGTGGCCGACTCAAGTCTCCCACAGATTGGAGAGTTGAAGCAAATTAATGTCCAAAATAAAACTTTTACTTATGAGCAGAGATGGTGTTCAAACCCAGAGGAATCTGATTTCAAAGCTGTGCTCTTGCCTCTACACTAGTTGTTTTCTAATTGAAATATGCAGAGATCACTTGAAAGTCTTGCTAAAACACAGCTTTCTGGGTCTGGCCCTCAAGTGTCTAGTTTAGTAGATCTCCTTTGGGGCGAGAACTTGGATTTGTGACAAATATATGAAGTGCTGCTGCTGCTGGTTTGGGGGTCACACTCTGAGGACCACTGCTCTTCACTGTGCTCTTCTGCACCCAGAACAAGCCCTCCAGTCATTGCTTCTGTTCCATGGTACATACCAGAATAAGGAACATGTTCTATGACACTCTCTAAGACAATCATACAAATTCTACATTATTATACCTGGCCTGGGATCTTCAGAAAGTCATGCCAACAGTTTGAGAATCTATTCTAAATTAAAAGAGATTAAAGAGCCATAAGAGCCAAATGAAATTATGAATCTTGACTGGATTTTGATTTGAAAAAGTAGCTATGGAAGCCATCTTGGAGTAACTGGGAAAATTTGAGTATGAATTACATACTCAATAATATGTTATTTTTCTTGGGTGTGATAATGGCACTGTGGCTTTATAGGAGAATGTCATTTTTAAATTTACAGGCCAAATGATTTAGGAATGAAGTTTCATGATGTCTGCTACTGAAATATTAAATGGTTCAGCAATACTTTCATGTTTTCCAGTTTAAATAAGGCAACATCTCAGTGAAGGGTGGTAAAATATGGCAGAATATTATTATCAAATATACATGGGCATACAGAGGTGTTTAATACTCTTTCAACTTCTTCTATGTCAGAAAAGTTTTACAATTAAAAGTTAAGAGAAAGTCCTGATTTTGCCTTAATTGTTCTTTTCTCTTGCTCTGTCTTGAATAATAGTTTAGCTGGTTGTAAAATTATTGGCTAACTTTTCCTTGTCCTTAGCATTTTGAAGATATTAGATCACTGTTTTCTAAATTCCATAACTACAGTTGGGAAGTTTGTCATGTATCTATAAATTATTCTTTTGTAGGTAAATTTATATTTCCTGACTATTTTAAGACCATTTTGTCTTTGATGTGGATTTTTGTTATTAACAGTCTTTTATGTCTTTAGATTAATTTTGTCTGGTGAATCTAAGGATTTATATCATTTGCCAAATTTTGAAAATTCCCAGCTGTTACTACTTCAAACATCATCTGCTGTCCAATTTCTCTATTTTTTCCCCTTCAGGATTACTAAACTTGCACCAAACCTTATCGTTCTAATATCTCCTATTGCAACTAATTAATATTTTCTGTATCTTGCTTTCCCTATTTTGCATTCTGGGTAATTTCTTCAAAAGTATTTTCCAATTTAATATTTTTCCTTTCATCTCCAGAAAATCTGTACTAGGATGTATTTTCATTTTCAACTGTATGTTTGCAAAGTGCCACAAGGAAAAGGCTTTTGTATCTTTTTAAATCCCTCTTTGTGACGCCTAATGATGCAGCAGCCACCGTATAGCCATAAAACACACTAAGAACAGAAGAACAAGACAGACGTGTATTCTTCAACAGTAATGACATCAACAAACTTTACACTAACCCTGGAACCCTACCTTTGTACTTCTTTACTATGTGAAAAACATAAACCTCTATTTTTGTAAGCCACTGAGGCTAGATTTCTATGGCATAAAAGAAAATAATTTCAATTAATGAGATGTGAATATGTTTAACTTATACTTGCATACAATGACCAAAATATTAACAGTGCTTATTTCTGGGTGGAGAAATTGTAGACGATCTTTATTTCTTCTGAATATGTTTTACATATTATCAAAAACTTATAGTCTTAATTGGTGAAATTGTCCAGTGGTATTGGTATAATAACAACTGTAGCTTACTTACTGATCCCTTTATACTATGCTAAATACCAGGGTAAGGACTTCAATGTAATATCTCATTTTTATCACATTACCTAATTTAATTTAATACATATAAATAAAGGTAAGAATTGCATATCACTTTAATTTGACTAATAAAATTAGAGGATATTTATTTCACTAAATAGGTACTTAGCTCATTATAAATTGCAGTTGTTATTATTAAATTACTCAAAAGTTTGAGAAACTATGATTTCATTTTTTTTCTTTTTCCAAAATACCTGAAGGTACTCTCTGGGCTGGTTTTTGCTTAAATGGTGATTTAGGATCCCATGAGGCATCTATTTTTCCTCTGAATGCTATTGATTGAACAATATGAGCCTTTTTATGGTTAAAAATGGTAATCATTGATCTTCTTTCTTTTTCTGTAACTTCTGATAAATGCAAAAAGTAATGTTATTACATAGCATTATAAATAGATAGGCAGAGTAATTCAAAAGAGAATTGAACATCTTAAAAAATATTCTTATCTGATTTGTGGTATATGTGAACATCCTGTCCAAACTGCTTTGTGAAGGGCTATCACAGTTGTTCCCATAATCTTACAAGTGCCCAGTATGTGCCCCTCAGGTCACAGGCACGGGACATCCTAATGTCTCCCAGGCCCTTTCTAACACATCACCATGGGTGACTGAAATCACAACTAAGGCCCTGAATGCTGTGAGGAAGAGGTGGCATAAACATAAGACTTTGATATATTCTCATTAAGAAAGCACTCAGTAATTAAGAATGTTCAAATTTAGATATAGAAAGGTAAGTACATAGATAATAAAACCTCAAAAATATAAAATATAAAGCACTGTTTTTGTAGCTTACATGAATCAGACATACTAGTTTATCTACAATGTCTAAAGATATATATTCGTAAAGAAGTTATCATTGACTATACATATTTTGATATATATGTTTACATAATTTCAAAGACTATGCTTTTTGGACCCTCATTAGACCTTAAGAGATTTAGTCCAGTTCTCACATTTTTGAAGTAAGAAGCCAAGGTACCAGGGGGTAAATGATTTTGGCATTCAGCACATTACTGTCTAACTCAGAATGTGGAGACTGTCTCCCACTCAGTTAGATGCCTTTCAAGACAGTGGTCAAGAGGCATACATTCCTAAAACGGCAAATTTCAGACAGCAAATATTTCAATAACAATTTTAAAACTCATTTACATAAAAATTATTTTCAAAGATATTCAACCTTTTTAAACCACTGAATTATAAGACTGCCTCTCAAATATTTCTCTGCAAGAAAAAGTGTCCTTACGGTTTCGGTCAAGCAACTCCACTCCCGGAAGATGGTAGATGATATACAAACGATAGAGGTTATATTGGCAAAAGGGGTTTTGGTAGAGACCTGCAAAGAAAGAATCCAAACTAAGAGGTCAGATTTCAAAATTAGTTTCATTTATCACTTGATAAAATATGGAAAACTGCAGGATTAAAGGGAAACATAAGGCCAGGGAAAGCTTTGCTTCACAGATCAAACCAACAGTCTCAGCAAACCTGTACTCATTCAGAGCAGCAGTCACTCTTCTTGCCTGTCAAATTCATTTATTCAACAAATATTTTAAGTGCTTAGAGTCTGCTAAGAACTGTGCTTTGTGCTAGTGACATATCATTGACCAAAATCTGCCACAAGTGAGGAAAATTTAACATATCTGTAGGTTAACTAGCAAGGAAAAACTAGATATCAGCTCTCCGGGGGTCTTGCTGCAGCTCTTTATCAAACTGTGTGTTCAATTGGTTCTCTTCTCCCGGTCTCAAAGGTCACAAGATATCCGTGTAGAGATGGGCAGAGAAGCGATGCACTGTCCTAGTACAGATTCCTTTCTCCATTTCATACCACTGCGCCTAGTTCAGAATGTGTAAATGGCAACAGCACCTTCAGAACTCAGAAGCCAAGCTTGAGCAGGAATGGATGTGGCATCTTGCCTACCTGTGGCCAGGTGCATGGGGCTCAGATTTTCTGTGCACAGATGCTGGGATGCCTAAGGCACCACACTGGCTAACACGGTGGCTGGAGGTGAGAGGCATGTGGGTGTAGAAGGGGTCCTGACACTTTTGGCGTCCCATCCCTTAGGCATCAGCATGTGAGACATTTTTTTAGTCTTCAACTAGAAGTTGCGAGGGTATTATTTTCATGGAAAAGATAAAGTATTTTCTCTAGTATTCTTTAGGTAATATTAAACAGGGATTTGTTTTTCAATACAATGTGAAATAAAACTTTTATGATTTCCAGTTGGATATCTTTAGCTATTGGACTTGGCCTACATGCAATTTCTTGAAAATACTTCTGGAAAATGTATCTAGTGAAGACCACTAGATGGCAGTAGCAGAAAGAGCTCCAGCTATTGTACAACTACATTACTCTTGCAACAATGAGGCTCTTTCAATGTACATGTCAAATTTAACAATACTGCTGTAGCATTTGACAATTTATAAAATACAAATAGGCTTGATAAAATCATGAAAATATTAAGCATTAGAAGCCGCCCCCCAAAAACTGATTAACTTTATAAAAAACAGTTTGCAACCTAGAGGTGGAAAACATGCTTAAACAACAATATTTAGATAAAAACTGAAAAAGTTAATCATCTGGTTGTTTTCTCTATAGTTAATAAAATGTTCTAATATTTCTTGTAGAAACTCAAACTTTTCTGGCTAATAAAATTGTTATATGTAGCTATTCTTTGTGGAAAACATGAGTTTTAGAGGGATTTTAAAGCGGGCAATGAAGATGACTGGTGCATCACAAACAAAAGTTTTGACTGAGGGAAGAGATAAAAGAAAATGTAGAGCCAGGAGCAACAAAAAAAGCTAAAAGAAAGAAAATATGTATGCATTTGGGGTTAATGAGAGGAAAAATGAAATGCATAGTTTTCAAGATATCTTAAGTGAGGGCAAAGCTGGTTTGAATTTTAATCTTAAAAGAGGAGGCATCTGAAATGGTAAATAATTGTCACTACAGGACAGGGAATGGAAGGATGTATATTAAACCAGTAGTAAGGACAGATTTAAAAAGACCCACAAGGATCATGCATTGTAGTTTGAGCCAGGGAGAGTAGAGAAAAGGACAACCTTCAAGGATAAAAAAGAAAAACACAATTGTTTTTAAGCAGAGTTTGGGAGGGAGAAAAAGTCACATACTCTTTCATGCCAAAGTCTTCTCTGGTTCCTTTCTTAAGAATCATAGCTGAAACCTCACAACCCTATCATTCACTACAGCAGGTGAGACCAGAGTCTGCCTTCACATACGATGTGAATGGAAAATGTGCCAACAGCTTTCAGTGACACTTACTTCTCGGCACACCCTTCACAGTCTCTTTTCCCTCTCAGAACGTCACTATTTAATTTCTTTTTTTGTTTTTTCTTCTAGTGTTTAGTAATGTCTTTATGTGAGTAAAATAAAGTCTAGCTTCAAATTTGGGTTTACTTCTGTTACATTAGTTATGAAGAAGATGTTTCAATACTAAAAAGCCTTTGTGCTTATTATGGTTCAACAGTCGTCTCATCATAAAGTAAAATCTAAGTGAGAGCAAGTCTAAAAACTGTGCTCACCCCTTGCCTAAATTAACTTAAAAATAAACAAAATTAAATAATCTGAAAGGCATTTAATCTTTTATGATTCTTCACTTTTTCCTTAGCTCTTAAATTTTAGAAGAAATCAGCCCAGCCAAGATAGAAGCATAGGTAGATATACTTTGCCTCTTTGCATAACCAAAAGAAAGACAACCACAAACTTAAAAAGAAAAAACAACCAGAACTGCCATGAAATCCAACTGTATGGAAGTCAAACAACCAAGGAGTTAAAGTTAAAGAAGAAACATTCATCCAGACCAATAGGAGGGATGAAAATGGGCAGTTGGGGTGAGGAGGACTCAAGGCAAGGTGGCACCTGGGGGACTGGGTGAGCAAGGCAGCTGCTGGTGGACCCACATTTGCATGTGGATAAACCAGGAGGAACAACTGGGGAGTAAGACAGACCATGCAATCCGGGGTTCCAGTGTGGGAAATAAGGTCTCAAAACCTCAGGCTGTAAAAATCTGTGGGGGTCATGGCAGCAGGAGAAACTCCCAATCTCACAGGAGAGTTTGTTGGAGAGACCCAAGGGGTACTAGAATGTACCCAAACCCATCCACCCAGGATCAGCACCAGAAGCACCAAATTTGTTTGTGGGTAGTGGGGAAAGCAACTGAAAGAGGCAGAGAGCCAAGGGAGTGGCATGGTTCCCTCTCCGACCACTCCCACATGTACAGTGCCACAATGCAGCCATGTGGGTTGCACCACCCTGGCGAATACCTAAGGCTCTGGCCCTTACTATGTAACAGGCGCACAGAGACAAAAAAAAATATGGCCTCCAAATGGATCAAAGCTCCAAAAATAGATCTAAGCAATGAAGAAATAGCCAACCTATCAGATGCAGAGTTCAAAACACTGGTAATTAGGATGCTCACAGAATTGGTTGAGTATGGTCGCAAAATAGAGAAAGAAGTGAAGCCTATGCAAAGTGAAATAAAGGAAAATGTATAGGTAACCATCAGTGATGGGAAGAAAGCAGGTACTCAAATCAATGATTTGGACCAGCAGGAAGAAATAAACATTCAACCAGAACAGAATGAAGAAACAAGAATTCAAAAAAAATAAGGAGAGGCTTGGAAAACTCTGGGACATCTTTACAATGTTCCAACATCCTAATCATATGGGTGCCAGAAGGAGAAGAGGAAGAGCAAGAAATTAAAAACTTAGTTGAAAAAATAATGAATGAGAACTTCCCCAATCTGGCAAAGGAAATAGACTTCCAGGAAGTCCAGGAAGGTCAGAGAGTCCCAAAGAAGTTGGACCTAAAGAGGAACATACCAAAGCATATCCTAATTATATTATCCAAGATTAAAGATGAGAGAATCTTAGAAGCAGCAAGGAAAAAGGAGACTGTTACCTACAAAAGAGTTCCCATCAGACTGTCGGCGGATTTCTCAAAAGAAACCTTGCAGGCAAGAAGGGGCTGGAAAGAAGTATTCCAAGTCATGAAAGGCAAGGACCTCCATCCAACATTACTTTATCCAGCAAAGCTTTCATTTAGGATAGAAGGGCAGATAAAGTGCTTCCCAGATAAGATAAAGTGTAAGGAGTTCATCATCACCAAGCCCTTATTATATGAAATGTTAAAGTGAATTACCTAAGAAAAAGATAAAAAATATGAACAGTAAAATGACAAACTCACAACTGTCAAAAACTGAATCTAAAAAAACGAAAGCAAAAATAAACTAAAATCCTGGCCTAACAGGAACAGAATCACAGAAATGAAGATCACATGGAGGCTTATCAGTGGGGAGGTGGAGGGGGGAGAATGGTGGAAAAGGTATAGGGAATAAGGATCATAAATGGTAAGTACAAAATAGACAGGTTAAGAACAGTATAGAAAATGTAGAAGCCAATGAACTTATATTTAGACCCATGGACATGAACTAAGGTGGGGGGGGGAATGCCAGTGAAAGGGAGGGTGCAGGACAGAGGGGGATAAAGGGGAGGAAAAACTGGGACAACTGTAATAGCATAACCAATAAAATATACCTAAAAAAGAAAAAATAATTTAGAAGGAAGCAATCTTATTTTTAACTTTCTTTTTTTCTCCTATACTATTAAGCATTTTACATTTTAGATTTATGAGTTTTGGATTGATGCTACTAAAATTACCATAAATTAAGTTTTTAAGATATGAAACCGGTTTCCTGTGTCTGAAAGTTCTGAAAGCCTTCCATGATGTATGGGGTACATTCCTTTAGAAACTATGAAGCACAGTTGCTTACACTTTCACTTTTAATAGGTTAATACTATTTAATCCACCTTCCCTCTAGGCTACTTACAGAGTACACCTCAGTGGCGCCAGCACTGTCTTGCTTATCTTAATTTGGGATTCTGAGTCTAAGCAATTTACATTCACCAAATAATATATCAAAAGGTCTCTACTACCTTACTGCACACACTTGACTTACATTAGTCACATGTGTGAATCGACTTAATATTGAAACAGAAAAGATTACAGTCATCTAAATTGGCTTCAGTTAATTTGTTTAAACTTTTAAATCAATATTTAAAGTCATAATTTAAATGAACCTGAATGTTTTTAAGACCACCATTGAAGAAAGTTGATGTAATTAATAATGTGCCAATATATCCATTTTGATGCATGGGAAAAATTATATAGAGAAGCTACAAGCAGTTATATTGTGTGCCTATTTATACAGAACAGCCCGTGGAAGGAAGTGCAGATGTCAATGATCAGACATTAAGATTTTAAGGTTTTGGTTCAAAGTTACTTAGTAAGGTCAGCACCTCCTGAAATCTTACTATCTTATTTTAACCAAAATTTGTGGAAAACTGCATACCACTAAAGCAGGGCATGGACAGAGAAGAGTGGTCAGAATTGTTGGGAACCGCTCTGCCTGGTTTCGGGAGTTGTACCTGCCCCCCATGGCTAAGGCTGTGTGAGCAACCTCTGGAACGCAAGCCACTAAGGAGACAAAGCTTGTCTCTGCTTCATCCCCAGCCCCCAATGCTTGGTCTGTTAGTCAGAGATGGGTAAGGTCCCTCAGAGGGGGGGCAACCTAAGCCAGACACAATCACTCGGGAGGCCATCATGGAAGGATTTGGGGGGCTGCAACAAAGAGGGAGTGATGGACCCTCGCCCCCCCGGCTATTCTGACATAGCCCGAGTCCCCATTTCCATCTGGGAGAAACACTTCCTGGCTCTAATCCATTTAAGCCTAAAACTTATGATGGGGGAGGCAGTGCAGCCCCTTGATGGCTAGAGCAGGATTTGGGGTGATCAGGCACAAGAAAGAATTCCTAAAGTCCTGTGAAGCCTGCTTTGCTAAGAGTGCTTTCATTCACATGATAAGGGTCCAAGCAGGAAATGACTATGTCTCCCAAAGTTTCTGCAATCCCCTTACCTGACAGACACTGACTCAGACTAAATGTTATCTACTGTTTGATCAGATTGCTTTGAAATGTTATCTACTGTTTGATCCTTGCCACCTGTATTCCTGTGTATTACCACCCAATAAAAGCCATTGAGGAAGGGGTTCTCGGCTTTTCTCCTCTGAGAGATTGGCCACCTCTCCTCCCCAAGCAGATCATGTCTTGGTTGTTTTGCTTTCATCCGTGGAGGATGGGGGGACCTGCGGGCAAAGTTGCCCCCACACAGAACATTCTCTTCTTCAGAACAAACAGGAGTGAAAGACCCAGCTGGCTCTTTTGATTAGGGGATTGTTCTGTTTTGTGGTCCCACCCTGAGAGACATTTGAGGTAAAGAGGCCCAAATAAAGGGACCACTGAGATCGTGGTCCTGCCCTGGCCTCTCAGCATCCCCCTTTAGTCCTTGGCTGTTTGCCTTCAGCGATGGACTACGGCCCAATGAGGAACAGTAGAAATGTTTAAGAGCAGAACCTGTAGAAAATAAAGACCCTCTATTGAAAAGGGCACCCACCATATCCAATGGTAATCCTTACAGCTCTGCTAAGAAGCAAGTCTTAAAAATTATGGAATGTAGGAGTCTAAGTATACTTTCTAATAATAAAGCTAATAAAATAGAAAATTTGAAATGTGGAGACCAGAAGTTTAGAAGCAGGAAAGTGTTAAGTATTTTGTTGCTCTTGGTGGTGTTTTTCCCCCTCTGTGCTGGGAAAAAAGGCAGGGGGCAGAAGGTTAGTGAATGCCATCAGCCAGGAAGGACGTGTTTGACAAGTGTAGATCCTCACAGAGAAAGAGTTTGGAGATGTGAAGGCAAGAGGAAAATGGAGCTGGAGAAGGAGGGTGTGGAGAGGTAGGCCGCCTGGAGAGAAGAGAGGGGCCCCTCCAGACTTAGCCTGGGAGTCAGGAATTCCGGTTTCCAGAGCCTCACACTCTGCGGCTGGCGTTCGGCCTCCCTGAAGCTCCCAGGCGGGTCTCCTGGGCAATCACTCGGATTGCCATGCCAGCGGAGGGTGCCTGCTGAAATGGGTTAGAGGTTTACCTCCAGGCAACTTTCTCACTCTCTGAAGAACTTGCAATTGAAGTGGAATAATAATAACGCTTCAGCATTGTATATGGTTTTACGGCTTGAACAGACACTTTAACATTTTAAAATCCATGAATTTCTCATTTTAGTTAATGAGCAGAATCTAATATGTGATTGCAAATGAGGCTCAGAGAAACCTGTTTATATTTGCTATACTGCACAAATGCAATGAGTAGTTTATTAGTAAATGCAAACGTTTTCCCATAATATTTATTTATTTATTTATTTATATTGTTCAATTACAGTTGTCCCAATTTTCCCGTTGCTCTCCTCTGCCCTGCCCACCCTCCCTCCCCTTTCTCCCCATCTCAGTCACTCCCCACCCTGTGGTCCATTACCATGGGTCCTTTAGCATGCTCCTGGACCAGGCCCTTCTCCTTCCTTCCCGTTTTCCATCTCCCCCCTCCACTCTGGTCACTGTCAGTTGTTCCTTCACACTGATGAGAATGGCCATCATTAATAAATCAACAAACAACAAGTGCCAGCAAGGTTGTGGGGAAAAGGGAACCCTAGTACACTCTTGGTGGGATGCAGACTGGTGCAGCCACCGTGGAAACAGTATGGAATGTCCTCAGAAAACTAAAAATGAAATTGATTTTTGATCCAATGATCCCACTGCTGGGATTATACCCTAAGAACCCTGAAACACCAATTCAAAAGAACTATGTATCCCAATGTTCATAGCAGCACAATTTATAATAGACAAGTGTGGGAAGCAACCCAAGTGCCCATCAGTAAATGAATGGATCAAAAAACCACGGTACATTTATACAATGAAATTCTATGGAGCAGAAAGTAAGAAGGAGCTCCTACCCTTTGCAACAACATGGATGGAACTGGAGAGCATTATGCTGAGTGAAATAACAAGAGGGTGAGGGACAAATACCATATGATCACACCTTTAACTGGAAAATAATCAACAAAAGTAAAAAGCACACAAAATATAACCATAGACACTGAAATTAACAACAATCTAACAGTAGCCAGAGGGGAGTGAGGAGAAGGTTTTTCAGGAACTACTATAAAGGACACACGGAAAAAACCAAGGGGGAGGGTGGAAGCAAGGGAGGGAAATGGGATTGGCTGGGTGGGGAGCAGTGGGGAGTAATGCAGACAACTGTAATTGAACAACAATAAAGTAAAAAATTCAGTAGATATAACAGATTAATACTAAAAGTATATGAAAACTGTAATCACTATCAATGTATTGATCTGATTAGAATCTTCACCATCAACACTCTGAAGAACTTGCAGTTGAAGTGGAATGCCTTATATGGTTTACACATATAAGGAATTCTGAGAAACGAATACAAAATAAATACGAAAAAAATCCACTTCATGACATTGTGTAAAGAAGTTTCCAAACTCTACTGACAACTCACTCATTGACCTGAGTATCTTTTTCCTTAGAACACCTAGAGCCATTTGTCCTGTACTGAGACCATTTACAGGTTTATCCAGCCTTTTAATCCTATAATGAGAGTTAGGAATCATGCATTATTTATTTTTCTAATCTATCTCATACTTTCTTCCAATACTGAGGCCAGTTCTTTGTTGGGTGTGGTTCAGTATTCATGAATAAAGTTTATAGTTCATCCAATTAAAAGCATAAATAAGCCCCGGCTGGTGTAGCTCAGTGGATTGAGCACGGGCCTTCTAACCAGAGGATCATGGCTCGATTCCCAGTCAGGGCACATGCCTGGGTTGCAGGCCAGTTCCCAGCAGGGGACCCAGGAGAGGCAACCCTACATTGATATTCTCTCTCTCTCACTCCTTCCCTTCCCCTCTAAAGATAAATAAATAAAATCTTTTAAAAGAAAAAAAACATAAATAAAATTAACTTTTTTTGGTGTCAGCTTCATTATTATACTTTACATACCACACGATTCATCCACTTCAAGTGTACAATTCACGGTTTTTAGTACACTCGCAGAGTTGGACAACCACCACTGCAGTCAATTTTATAGTATTTCCATCACCCTGAGAAGAAACCCTTGTTCTTCAGCTGTACTCCCCAGTCCCCTGACCCCTAGCCCTGGGATAAGACGGATCTACTTAACGTGGTTACCTCTCAGTATTGCTCTCCTGACAGATGTGCCTGTTCTGGATGTGTCATGTAAATGGAAGCATATCATAGATGCTGAAACTTACTTCTGAGCTTAAACTGACACCACAGATTTAAACATATAAATCAATCATCTTCGTCACTTTTGTCACTTTCATTTGGCATGTTATAGCATTCCACAAAATTTTTTCTACTTGTTCTTTTCAAAAGGAAGTGATCTAGTCCTGTTTTCAGAAATATCTAAGTATTTTAGTTATTGATCTAATGTCAGTGAAAAAAATAAAGCCCTGTGCTTTACTACTTTAACCCATGGCCGTGTAAAAGTGCAAATGAGTACTCAGGGTCTTCAGATTCAGCATCCCCTTCAACTCCTTCACGGTTGCATCGATGTTCGTTAACTCATTCCGGTGCAGCAGCAGGATATGCAATGAGGGCAAGAAACGCAGGCCTAAAAGAAGTGTTCACAAGATTTTAAACTTTGTTTTAATGCTGATTAAACATGCTAACTGAACAAAAGCAAAGAATACACTACAGTTGGTGAAATAATTATCAATAATATTGTGAATTATCATTAAGAATAAAAGAAAGCATAAGAATTCAATTAATTGAGCATAATGTGGGAATATAGAGTCCATTTCTTTTCAGTGTTATTGTTTTATGGAGTTTTTCCTGTAGCAATGATTTTTTGTTTGATTTTAGAAGGGTTACTTTATTCATTCTTTTTTGTTTTGTTCTGTCTTGCCAATGTTACTTAAACTTATAATGCCAATTAATGGGAACAATTACTCACTGAATTCAATACCTCCCCTCATATTGCTCAACTATTTTCTTTACACCATACAAAGCCAAATATTAATATCATTTTTGTTGATTCTAAATTGAAAATATTCCCACATTTTTAACATAAGTGAAAGTGGATTGTGCCTTTGTAATAGCCACATTGCAGTTTAACTGGCAAAAATTTCTTCATGGTACATGAAATTATGGTAGATCTTACAATTATGACACTTCGATCTTATGATACATAATATTAAAAATGTTTTGTGTTATACCGCTTCATATTTCATGACCATACTGTACTTTTATACATGGTTTGAAATAGTCAGTTTAGAGATTTTTGCATATGTAAAATTAATTCAGAGTGAAAGAATTTGACCAGTAAATATTATAGCCAGGCCCTGGCTGGTGTAGCTCAGTGGACTGAGCACAGGCCTGTGAAGCAAAGGGTCACTGGTTCAATTCCCAGTCAGGGCACATGCCTGGGTTGCAGGCCAGGTCCCCAGTAGGGGACACATGAGAGGCAACCATACATTAATATGTCTCTCCCACTCTTTTTCCTTCCCTTCCCCTCTCTAAAAATAAATAAAATATTTTTAAAAATTATAGCCAGTAAAAATATTAAGACACTACGTATAACAACAACTACGTATAAAGTTGTTACATTTATGAATGTTCCCCAATACCGTTAAATTTGTGTCCACAGTTTCGAGTTTATGTGCAACTGTGCAGTATAATGGCAAAATTGCTATGTTAAAAGAAGAGTCACTTACTTTTTATTTCTCCCCTTTATTCTCCTCTGCCCTGCACCACCCCTCACCTCCCAGTTCTTGTCCATGGGTCATACATATATAAGTTCTTTGACTCTCCATTTCCTATACCATTCTTAAACCTCCCCCATCTATTTTGTACCTACCATTTATGCTTCCTATCTCCTGTACCTTTCCCCCATTCTCCCTCCTCCTCCTCCCCACTGATAACCCTCCCAGTGATCTCCATTTCTGTGATTCTGTTCCTGTTCTAGTTGTCTGCTTAGTTTGTTTTTGTTTTTGTTTTTGTTTTAGGTTCAGTTGTTGATAGTTGTGAGTTTGTTGTCATTTCACTGTTCTTATTTATGATCATCTTTTTCTTAGATAAGTCCCTTTAACATTTCATATAATAAGGGCTTGGTGATGATTATGGGCTCCTTTGATTCATTTATTTTTGAATATCATGACACAAGATGAGACTGCATTAAAACTGCATCAAAAGCACATTTCTTAAAATGAAATGTACATAAGAACATTAAAATAATAGATTTCATCACATATTTTCAACAGAGATGTTAAAACAGATTTCTGCATGTCATTATTAATTACATAGTTAACTGTTATTACTTAACCGAAAACTCAATCAGAAAAAATTTAGACATACCTTCTATTTCAATTATTGCATTGTTGTTTAAATAGAGTTCTGTCAGACAGTAGTTTCTAGTTAGAAATGTTATTCCATGTAGCTGAAAATGAGAGTGGGAGAATAATTTCCTTTCTACAATAATTACATATATATACCTATATAAAACTGTAATAAGACCAGAAGAGTTTGGTGCCTGCTTTTATTTTGAATTATTTGTAACCTTTTGGTCTGGGCTATGAATTTACATCTGGATTGTCTTTGAGGACAGTGTGGTAAAAAGGATGTTTCTAGCTAACTTAATATAAACCCATCTTACCACACAGTGCCCAAACTCCCTTGCATGGTTTGCCAAGCATCTGCAAAAGGGTAAAAGGGTAAAAGGGTAAAAGGGTAAAAGGGCCTTCATCTTTTGCTCTACCATTTCACACAAATATTCTCCTTATAGACTCATTAGATCTGACTTCCACATATCAACTCATTCACCATCACATATTATTAATCAAGCACTTAGTACTCTCTCTACAGAAATATATGCACAAGATAATAAATTAATGTTATATTTATTAAAGCTTATCATGGGAACTATTATTAACAGTTAACTGGAACTGTTTTGGCCTTTGTGGGACTAGATAGAAAGACACCAACCTATCTGATTTAGTGAGGATTTATTGGCATTTTACTATGTCCTCTCGTATCTCAAAAAATACTTTTTTTGAAAACTTTTAAAAAATGACTTTTCTTTACTTTTTAAGTGTTTACACCATTTACAAATTATGAATCTATAAAAGGCATGTGTGCTACTCATTTAATCATTTTACAGATTCGTCTGCCTCAAACTGTACCAGCACCCATGCAGGAGGAACAGCAGTAAGGTCACCACAGCTCCGTTAAGTCTTGAGAGGAGCCATGCTCCCCCCGCTAGGAGAAACCATCCAGGGGCATGAGAAGTGGTTCCCAGTTGACTTCCTAATCCTTTCTGCTTTTCCTACCAGCCTCCCGACAGCGCTCACTACCTTCCGTCCTCCTTACCACGCTCTGATCTAAGTGCAGCTGCACCTCGAGATACAAATGGCAGAGGAGTCCGTGGAAGCTGCACAAACCTCCTCCCTGGACCAAACTGGAATTATAACTAAATGGTAGAGAAACCATCCTGAATAACCAACTGCACATTGCTGGAGAGAAGCCTTATAACCAAGGGCAGACAGAAGAAATCATTGCATCACAACATGACTGGGAGGAATGCAAAGGAGGCAAAAGAGGGCTGGCTGGGCTCCCATAGGAAGCAGCTGAAGTTCCAGAGGGACAGTTCAGCAACCGGGGATTTCCCCTGAGAAGTGTGGGGTCTAAACCCCAAGCTGGGCTCCCCAGTCTACAGCACCAGAGCTGGGAAAGGAACCCAGATAAACACCCAGCTGTGAAAAGCAGCAGGGGACAGCTGGAGATGCGGAAAGCCTTTTAAAGGGCAAATGCACAAGATTCCATATTCAGCCACTTATCCTAGGCTCCAGCAGAGGGAGGGCAAAGTGGACTAGAGCTGTGTGAGCAGAGTCTGGGGCTGGTGGCCCTGAGGAGAGAATGGAAGGAATAGCTGCCAGGATTTCTGTGCTGAGTCGTTCCCCTACTGCAGAGTCTGTTTTCTCAGGCAGAGCACTCCCCTCCAAGTGGCAGCAGCCTGAGGGGAAGCAGTAGCCCTGCCCACAAGAATCACTCTGCCCTACACTGCAGAGCTTAAGTCAGGCTGCTGAGTGCAGCTTGAGGCTATATCAGCGATTCAGTTTAACAACTAAGGCACATCTCTGGGAGCTCTGACACTCCCCTGGGCCAGGGCTGGTAAAAGCTGGCTTTGGTACACAGTCTTGTTCTTTCTGCAAACAAACAGGCCCAGAAGAGGGAGCCACAGGCTGTGGATCACTGATAGCTCCAAACAGGGTGCCCAGGGCCATTCACAGGCAGTGTCTCACAAAGGCTCACACCAGAGTCTTTGTGGATCTACCTGATACATAGAAACAAACACAGAGGCAGCCAAAATGAGAAGTCAAAGGACAGGCTCCAAGTGAAAGAACAAGAGAATCCTGCAGAAGAACTAAATGGGAGGCAAGCAATTTATCAGATAGAGAGTTTAGAGTAATGATTATAAGGATATTCAATAGTATGAAAAAGAAATAGAAACCATAAAAAAAGGACCAGTCAGAAGTAAAGAATGTAATATTGGAAATAAATAATACAATGGAAAGAATAAACAGTAGCTTAGATGAAGCAGAAGATTGAATAAACAATTTGGAGACAAGATAGAAAAAAACCCACCCAAGTGGAAGTACATACTATCTTCATGGGTAGGATGAATTAACATCATTAAAATGTTTATACTACCCAAAGTAATCTATAGATTCAACACAATTCCTATCAAGATTCCAATGTCATATTTCACAGAACTAGAGCAAATATTTCAAGAATTTATATGGAACCATAAAAGGCCTCACATAGCAACAGCGATCCTGAGGAAAAAGAAAACAAAGTTGGAGGAATCATGCTGCCTGATATCAAACAATACTATAAGGGCATAGTAATCAAAATGGCATAGTACTGGCATTAAAACAGATGTGTAGATCAATGGAACGGAATAGAAACCCCAGAAATAAACCCATAACTTGATGGCCAATTAATATTCAACATAGGAAGCAAGCACATGCAATGGACTATAGATAGTTTATTCAATAAATGGTGTTGGGAAAATTGGATAGGTACATGCAGAAAAATGAAACTAGACCACCTTATTTCACCCCACACAAGAATAAGGTCAAAATAAATTAAAGACTTAAATATTAGATCCAAAACCATGAAAATCCTATATGGGGGAAACTTTACCCACAAAGTCCCCCTGTCCACCACAGATGAAACTGAAACTACCAAGACATGATCTGCTTGGGGAGGAGAGGTGGCCAATCTCTCAGAGGAGAAAAGCCAAGAGCCCCTTCCTCAGTGGCTTTCATTGGGTGGTAATACACAGGAATACAGGTGGCAAGGATCAAACAGTAGATAACATTTCAAAGAAATCTGATCAAACAGTAGATAACATTTAGTCTGAGTCAGTGTCTGTCAGGTAAGGGGATTGCAGAAACTTTGGGAGACATAGTCATTTCCTGCTTGGACCCTTATCATGTGAATGAAAGCACTGTTAGCAAAGCAGGCTTCACAGGACTTTAGGAATTCTCTCTTGTGCCTGATCACCCCAAATCCCGCTCTAGCCATCAAGGGGCTGCACTGCCTCCCCCATCATAGGTTTTAGGCTTAAATGGATTAGAGCCAGGAAGTGCTTCTCCCAGATGGAAATGGGGACTCGGGCTATGTCAGAATAGCTGGGGGGCAAGGGTCCATCACTCCCTCTTTGTTGCAGCCCCCCAAATCCTTCCATGATGGCCTCCTGAGTGATTGTGTCTGGCTTAGGTTGCCCCCCTGCTGAGGGGTCTTACCCATCTCTGACTAACAGACCAAGCATTGGGGGCTGGGGATGAAGCAGAGACAAGCTTTGTCTCCTCAGTGGCTCGAATTCCGGAGGTTGCTCACTCAGCCTTAGCCATGAGGGGCAGTTACAACTCCTGAAACCAGGCAGAGCAGTTCCAAACAATCTAGAAGAAGCCATAGTCAGTAAAATCTCAGACAGTGCTCATAGCAATATCTTATCTGATATATCTCTCCAGGCAAGGGAAACAAAAGAAAAAAATAAACAGATGGGACTACAAACTAAAAAATTTTTATTTAAGTAAACATTAATAAAATAATAAATAGACAACCCTCAGAATGTGAGAACATATTCACCAATATGTCTGATAAGGGGTTAAAAACCAAAATTTATAAAGAAATCATGAAATTTGACACCAAAAAACCCACCAATCTAATTAAATAATGGGCAAAGAACCTGAACAGACACTTCTTCAAAGAGGACTTACAGATGATCAACAGACATATGAAAAGATGCTCAATATCATTAACCATCAGAGAAATGCAAAGTAAAACCACAATGAGATGTCACCTCATAGCTATCAGAATGGCCATCATTAACAAGCCAACAAACAAGAGCTGGTAAGGATGTAGAGAAAATGGGACCCTTTTGTGCTGTTGGTAGAAATGCAGACTGATTCAGTCACTGTGGAGACAGTGTGAAGACATCTCAAAAACTTAAAAACGGATCTGCCTTTTGACCCAGTGATCACTTCTGAGAACATATCTGAAGAAACCCGAAACCCTGATTTTAAAGAATATAAGCACCCTATGTTCATTGCAGTGCTATTTACAACTGCCAAGATATGGAAGCAGCCCAGTGTCCATTGGTAGATGAGTAGATAAAGCAACTACGGGACATTTACACAATGGATACTACTCAGCTGTAAAAAGGAAAATTTTACTCTTTGCAACTGCATGGATCAACCTGGAGAACATTATGCTGAGTGAAATAAGCCAGTCAGAGAAAGACAAATACCATATGATTTCACTTATATGTGGAGGCTAACGAACACACTGAACTAACCAGCAAAATAGAGAGACTCAGAGAAGGAGAAAAGATGACAGCTAGTGAGTAGGGCGAGAATGGAGGTAGAGGAATTGAGCAAAGAGAAAAAAAAAAGTTCATGGACACGGACAACAGTGTGGTGATTGTAGGAGGGTGAGGGATATAAGGGGGTTAAATCATAATGGAAAAAATACAATAAAAAATTAAAAAAATATATAGCCATATCTGATATCATCGTAGAAAAGGGGTATCAGTGGAAACCATGATTTTTTCCCTCTTCTTTTCTAGTTGTCTACCTGAACCTACATTCACAGAACATTATTAATTAGTTGAGGGTGTAATTTCTCTTGCATTACTCATTAACTTAACAAGAATACTAATGAAGGCAACAGTTTCATCTTAGTTAAAGAATCACAATTTTCCCAAGAACATTAACATCCTTGGACCACGGTTATTGGTATTTTAATACTGCATTGTTTGTTGCAGTGGAGTGGTGGAGGGGGTGAAGTGGAAAGAAAGCAAGCCAGATCATAAGGATGTTGGGGTGCTATTAAAATTTTTGGTGCAGAAGAGTGTTATTGCCTAATTTTGTC